CAGCAGTTATCTCCAATCTCTTAGACAGCTCCACATCGCAGACATCCTTAACAGCTGGTTCCACACAGATAATGGATAATTTTAGGAAATCTTTTTCCGATTTGAAGTTTCATTTATGATCTTTATTGTGCAGAAAAGGCATCAGAGGAACTGGATACGAGTATTATGAAGTCTAGCTAATATAGCACCAACTTCTGCTCCCTCCTTTCCACCTAATAGAATGGATTGAACCTTCCCATCACACAAAAAATCCATCATAACATATGACAAAAGAGATATAGGAGCTACAAAGGCAGTGCTGAAAAGTGGAAAAAGCGAGAAAATAAAATGTCTGAAACTCTGCATGTTTTCTAAATAAAACCCTTACTGAGGTCTGTTAAAAAGATGTATTAACCCCAAAATGATTTTAGGTTTAAATAATTTTTATTTAAACCTTTCAGCTTATTTTTTATTATATTTCATATAAGTGCTACCCTCTCCATATCACCTTAACATCGAGGGAGAAGGACAAGCAGAGCAGAAACTAGTGCACTTCAGTGGCCTGGATGGCTGATCAATCTAGGACTGCAACAGAAAGGGCTGCACCCAACCACAAATACAGAGCCAGATACCTGGAGCATGGTTGATATGAAAGAACATGCTTTGTAAATGTTTTTTTTTTTTTTTTTTATTCAATCCAGAATTGAAACTTTTAGAAACTTGTTAATCGATAAATGGTAACTTTTCTGTTTTAAAATGATTTTTTTCCAGCTTTTTTATACAATTTTAGTAGAGTGAAGAAATTAAGAGAATTTGAGCTGTGAAAGGAGGTTTGAAACAAATGCAATTTGTAAATCTCAATCTGAAAAATTAAAAATTTGAATAAAAAACATTTCTTATGTTTGACTAAGTACAATTGGAATCAGATTACACTTGAAAAATAAATTATATAAAAGAATAAGCCAAAAACTAAAGACAGATTGAAAAAACAGCCATTTTTTTTAGAGTTTAATTTCTGATTAGCATTTTTAAAATAAATTTATATCTAAAAAAACATGTTCTGTTTTACAATAATAATTGCACAAAAATTACTTTGTAGCTTAACTAAAGCTGAAGACTAGATCAGATGAATCCTGACTGAGAAGGGGATAGTTGTAATTTTACACTGATTATCTGTTAACCCAGCTGGTGATGAAGGTTTGCTCTAAAACATCACTTTCACTTGAGCTATACCTGAAAGCTCTGGCTGTGATAGGAGCCATGAGAAGCATCTAGTGAAGTTTCTACGTGTATTTTCATCAAGAAATTAAAACTATATTTCTACCCATTGAAAATCAGTATATTTATACATTATAAATCAACTAATTAAGGGCCCCTTTAGATCGTCAAATTGCTGCAGCCTGTCTAGTTATATTATAGGTTTACATAAAAGAAGTATTGTTTAGTTAAACAGGATGATATAATCTATCTACAACAGTAACGTCCATCTTCTCAATTATATTTTTGTGCTGATTTTTACTATAAATATCTGGGTGGTTAAAGGTGCTGGAGCATTAATGTTGAATAAGTTATAGCAATGAATCACAAATGTTTGTTTTTTTACATTTTTCTGAACAATATGCTTTATATGAAATTATATTGACTTGATTATTAAAACATGGATGCAGTTTTATATAACATATTAACATAGTGTACATAGTGTACAGTTTTTTAATAACTAAAATATTAAGACTCTTGAAAAAGAAAAAGATGAGGGTCAGGGAAATTTTTAGTATATGGCTTTATGTTAGATGTGTAACCTCAAATGTTAACCTTTTTCTCTGCAGAAAGTATTTTATAGTAAATACTTCACTGACTGCTCAGATGCTCAGGTTATAACTACAGGCTGTGCTGAGAATGATTTATTTTAATTTTGGCAGGACAAACAAAAATAGTTGAGTCATAATTAAAATTAAGTGATGAAAAGGCAACAGTCAAACTGAACAAGTTTATGAAAGATAAAACATTCATAGAATCAATGTTAATCAAATGTTTGGAAAGCTTTCTTCATAGATAAAATACCTAAATGTGGTTTTAGACTAAACACTAAAATAAAATTTTATTTCAGTTTGTGATTCTCTGACTTTTAAATATTGTGTTTACTAGAATGTGTAAAAATTCTGATTAAAGTTATTCTAAATATCAGAAAAAGCTTCCTGATCTAATCAAACAAAACTGTTTTTTTTTCACCAATCCTAAATTTTAGATATTTCATTGAACTGAAATTGTTACAAGAAATCACAGCCCAGTTTATGTAAATGAAATAAAATGAAATTCTCTAAATGTTTTTTATCCATCAAAGTATTCAGATAATCTTCAAAGAAGTGACATAAAGGGAAATTTTCATCTTCTTCTTCCCCTACTTGAAGGAGCTGAAAGCCAGGCCTCCTACAGAGTATATTAGGGCTGCTGAGTCAGACATAACACCCAGGTTGTATTGAGCATACTGTGGGGGCATCCCTGTTAATTGACTCCCTCCAGAACAATATGCATACTTATTATTGAACACTGCAGTTGCATTAATGTTCAGTTTGTGCGACCATAAAGCATTTACATTTTTAAACAATGTACGCCTAATAAAACCCTTGCTCTTGACGTGCACATTGACCAATAAAATGTTGTTGCTAACATTCATGTAGACCAATAAAAATACATCTTCAAACCTCTTTCTGTCATGATGTTTTAAAGAGATCTGACCCACATGCAGGAAACCACTCAGAGAAAGATTTAACAGGTTTATTAGGAGTCCAAACGGGTTGGAATCAGGTGAACTCAGAGGGGCTGGTGAACCGGAACTGGAAGTAAGAGAGGAAGTTCACAGAGGTTAGTTCAGGGTCCGTGGGAACTTTGAATGACGTCTCGCAAAAACAGAGGTTACTGGACTCACGTTTGCAGAGATAGGTTACTTCCCAGAATCCAGTTGGTGTAGGAGGGTGGACAGGTTTGGGTTTGGTTGGTTCTTGAGGAGCAATGGAGAAGACTGCCACTTAGATTTCCAGGAGTACTTGAATGGGACGTGTGGAGATAAATCCCCTGCTCAGTGTGAAGCTCAAAACAATGCTTCCGGGGAGGGGGAGCCCAATAATCCAGTATGCAGGATC